AGGTACCACTGTATTTTAGTTACGAAGGGTTTCGGGAAACACTAGTTAATTAAGAAACGATTATAGGCCTATATGCATGACATGACGAAGTAATTAAAATTGCGAAGCTTTCTGGGAACGCACCCTTTGAGCGAAAAGAAATTAAATTAATTAATAGGAATCTAATTTAAAAGCATACAGGGTAAGTGAAAAAAGCGATATTTTCTTAAACTCCTTCATCAGAATTAAGCACCAGAGCTGGGGTGTGTTTCTCGGAACGTAAAATCCCGTAAAGATTTTCTTTCGTAAGGTTGATCTGGAGCCTCTCTTAGCTGTCTCTTATCGCTGTTGTCGGCTCATACTGCTCATTTAAAATAAGACTAACATAGCTAAGGGTACAACTTCATAACCAAACGTAACTTTACAAAAAAATTATTGATCCATATGATAAAACGATTTTGTTTGATATTTGACTACAGTCTTCTTTAGATTTCGTCCTTGCGCTCTGAATGCGCAACGGATTTGCCTCAGTAACGCGCGGATTCATAATGAAAGACAAGAAACTCACTGTTGATTTTTAAAGAAGGAGGGGGGGGGCTTCTGATAATGTCGAAGTGGATGCGCCCCCCCCCCCCCCATTTCAGACGTCCTTGGAGTGCATACACCTCTCTAAATGTGCCAGAGTTACAGTGTATCAAAACTTTAATTCATGAGGTTGATAAGAGGCGATACATCAGGTTCATTTACATATTTGTCTAATTTATTTTCCCCAAAAAGCACCCTGTAATAGCCTTTAGTAGTCAATACTGAAGCACATAGGATATTCTCTTATGTTTAGAAAGTAGCGCAAGTTTTGTTTCGGCTATTACGCAATTGCTCCTCCCGATATCAATGACATGCACACATATTGGTGCACGTAGGTATTTTATAGAACAAATAAAAAATAAAATGGTGATACTACCATCTGGGAAGTGGGTTCACGCACCCATTCAGCGAAAATCATATTTACGGTTAGGTTATTCAATTTCTTCATTTTGTATTTTATTTTTAGGTTCTCCCCAGTTTTGGACAATGCAATATTATTTCAGGATTTCTGCAGTGTTATATTTATAACACCACTTTCTCTCATGAGAAAACGTGGCGGGAATGAACAATTCCCAAGCCGTCAATGTGAACCAATCAGGTGTTCTGGCGCCTGTTTAGGTTGCACGTAAGAAGCTCTCCCTTAATCAATCTCTGTTCGGGAAAGACACGTAGAAAAAAATACCTTTCGTAAGATCTTTAGTGTCTTCGTAAAACGATAAGACTCGTCGTTATCGGGAAACGCACCCATGGTTAAATTGCAGTGAGTACCAACTGTGTTGTGGCTACAATTGGTTATTAGTCAGATTATTAGGATGAAAATATATCTTACACGTTCTAAAAAAACATGTAATTTAAAAATGTAAACATGAACACTTGTTTTGAAATCAGTTTAAGTTCATGATCAGAATATTAGTGCAACTATAGATATAATTCGTATAGCTCAATACTTCAATGCCAGCTATGCAGTTGCTGTACAAGTTGAACGGAAGGGGTTTCGTGTATCCCCGCTTTTCTCGTGCATTAAACGGCTGCATATATAATTTGGTTAATTGCTTGAATTAGGTAGACGTTGATATCTGCTGAAAATGAACTCAGCTAGATTAGGTATTTAATTAAAGCACACAAGCCCAAAGGAAATACCAATTAGAGAAACTCCTTGGGCTGGGCTTTTCCCATGCAGTAGTCCACTCTTAGCCCCTAATTCAAACCCCATTTAACTAAATCAAAAGTTGTTACGTAGACTTAACTATAGACTTAAAGGAATTCCGTGACATTACCCTAAAATTTAGTTCACTAATTGTTTTGTAGTTTAACACATACGTGGAAATTTGAGAAAGATGCATTTAATGTTTATACTAATTAGCTGAAATGTTTGAACACATCGCCGAATTCCTGTGATTATTATGTTAAAAATTTGAGCATTTTAAGTAATGAAATATGTACAAATAAAATTGTAAAAACTGGATTTTTGGATCATTCCGATATTTCGAAGCACTTGTATTTAATATAGGCTTCTCCTGGCAAATTAGAGATTGTCTCACGAATATGGAGTTGTACGCTAACACCATTTACAATTTTAGGCAACGCTGAGATTTGAAAGAAAAAAGGAATCAATTTAAACTGCACGATTAATACGTTGGGTTATATAAGATAAGATTCTGTGAAATATCCTGAAATCTTAAGACATAATTTTGCATGCTATCATTTATGTTTTGTGTGGAGTGTTAAGAAGTTTCCTACCCATGACCAAACTAGAGAATTAGGCTGTTTACCTATTGTCATGTAATATTTGAAGCAGTATGTTAAAGTAAAAATTGTTACTTGTTAAAAATTTAAATTGGTTTAAATTTTTTTTATTTAGTGTGAGAAGTTGGATATGCGTGGAATGGTTTGAGTTGGGCCCCTTTTACAAGCCTCCGATGTTTTCTGACAATCAAGCATGTATGCTATATTAGGCCTATGTAATATGTCACAGTGAAGCCGCATGTCACCTTACATCAAAGCAGTGTCAAATAACTTTTAAATAAAGATAAAAGTAATGAACAAAAAAGTTTTTTACGTGGAGCCTTTCCCGGCTGGTAATATATCAAATTTTACTTAAAGACAAATAATGACCATTGCATTCTGTCTATTAAGCACATTATTCCATGTTTGTTCAAATATGATAATTCAGTACAGCTGAAGCATGTTGTACGTTAGGGACCAGAATAAAATACTTTCCTGCAAAATAGTCATTTCAGTTGCCGGCTAACTGACACATGTTTGAAGTCTTCAGTTAAAAAAAATCCTGTGCCATGGTCTAAACGAGATTATGGCAATATAACAATTTCACTGCTTACGTCACTTAATGTGTAAAATGTCAAAAATACCAAAATAAAGGGTGCAACAACAATTAATGCATTAGGATATAACTTTCATAAGTTATTGCAAGTCGTTGAAGCTAGTGTTCATGCAGTGAGCGAGAACAGAAGCAAGTATTGGTTGATATTAATAACTTTTAAAAATATGTATTTTAAGTACAATTTAACAGGAGTACTAGGCCCATTGGCTGAAGTACAATTAAAATTACTTGCCAGGCTTGGAGAAGATTACAAAAATGCATGTGTTTACTTGCAATGGTGTTATGATGCCTGTATTTTGTTGTACTTTCCTTTTACCCTTCCATGTTAATCGAGATGCGAATAATTCTAAGGTACAGAAGCATCATAAGTAGTACAACTGATACAACTCAGGTTATGTTCCGGAGTTCCGGGTCCCCTCCAATATTACTTTATCTTGGCACGGGTTTGATGAGTTACCGTATTATCATTGCAAATATTGGTTCCCATAGTTTCAACAACAGTGTTATCATTCATTATATATAGCGCAGGCCCGGTTGCCACGAAAGTGTTTCACTTGCCATTTGTTCATTAATTCCTGAAATTAAACACAACGGCGAATGATTTGATGCATATACATATGATGAAATACATCAGGATACAGGGGCCGCTTACTTGATTAGTATTGTTACTGCTATTCGACTAAGGATTATATGAATATATTCCTCAACAGTAATTTTAACCACACATTTATGGATTTTTTTGCCGAACAGACGACAGAAAGGTGGTCTTATAATTAAGCGTTGACTTTTGTGACTTCTATGGGAGAAAAGTAAATGAGATGGCAGATATCTTGTACAATGCGTATTTTTTGGGGTCTTGCAAGCGGACAATGTATAGGGTAATGATACGCGTACGCGACTGAAATTGCAACTGCATGAAAAGTGCGATTCTTCGAAAGCGTTTATTTATCAGCCAAGGAAGCCTACATATCAAGTAAAGAGGTAAGATGTGAATTTCTAATAAAAAAAAGGAGCTTAAACGAGCAAAATATACCTAAATATACCTGAGTCCGTTTAACGGTATTGTATGGAACATCGCACTTCTTTGAACTTCAGGTAAAGGAACATTAATCCATTATATTTTAACAGGCTACAACATATGGTGTAAAAATCGTATGTGTCCTTTTATAGCATTTGTCTTTTCGTAGCATGCATGTACCAAGAATTTGGCGTGCTCACCCTCATGTTTTCTGTACACATGGGGAATTTATTGTATTGTTGCTTCAAAAACAAATAAAAAGCTCCAATAAAAATCAGACATAGCTATCACAGAGCGCGTTCCTAAAGAGATATAGCCCCTCGCGTCTAAGCAATCGCATTGCGAGCCAAGACATTTTCCCTCTGTTCATGTGCCAGCAAAAGCCTTATGACAAAGGTATTCACTCTTCATAAAACTGCACCCAGATTGCCAGCGATACTGACGCTGTAAATATAGCCTAACCTGAAGCACAAAAATAACATATACATACCTCCAGTGATCAAATGATTTTGATACACAAGCCTATTCTAATTCTGAAACTATATATCCCCGTCTGTTCGTAACGTGTAAATACGATATTTACCTCTGTCTGGCCCATTCAGCTTCAAAGAATGAATATTCTTTCGGTGTTAGGTGAAGATTGGACGGCGATAGTATTAATGCAAAAATGTATAAATCCAGTGTGTTATTTACAGTGAACAACGTACATTGAACATATTACTAGTTGCATGCATAAATTATATTTAAAAAGGAAACTGCTGTTGTCTGAAACTATTAATCGCTGAACTGTACTCAAAGTTTTGCCTTGCATCATGTGCACTTGGCATAATTCATCACAGAACGAGCAAACCATCCTTCTTGGAACCGCGAGCATATTTTAAAGGAACGACGTGATTTGTAGTCTTGTGGACAACGGTATTTCCCACTGATAGAGTTTGATATTCTTATTAGACTATTTAGCATGGTTACATTTTTGTGCGTAATCAAAACAACATAACATTTCGGTGTTACTTGTCAAGTAAAGCTTGCCTTGCGGTGCGTGCAGATGAGGGACGGAAAGAATGGTGGGGATGAGAGCGACAGTATGGGTGAGATGTGAGAGGCAGAAGGGGTGGGATTCTAAAGGAAGTATTGGAACGAATCGTGGCTGTTTGGTAGAACTGGTTGGTGAAATCTACCAAAACTACCCCCACATAATTTCTGCCAGACTTCTAGGACTCTTAAGCCTTCCTTGTGTAACTGAAGATAAAGAGAGAATGAGAGAGACAGAGTGAGTAGGAGAGAGATAGTAGGAGAGGGAGATAATAAGAGAGAGAGAGGTGATGGGGGTTGAAGGCGGAGACGAACCTGCTCTTCTTGGAGATTATTCCTGCTATGGTTAGAACAATCACCAAGGCAAGGCGGACAAAAAAATCTAACGGTTCTCAAGAAAAAGGATAAACGGACCGTTTTTCTGCAACAAAGATCGATTAACTTTGGCTATATTTATTTTGATTGGGCGCCTGGCAACCTGGAAGTGCATTTGGAACAAAAACAAATACGCGGATCTGCTGTCGTGCAAGTGTTCGGCTGAGCATTTGGAATGTGGTATAAACTTAACAAAAACCATTAAGATTTCTGGGGGAAATCAGGACAACTGCATTTTTCCACCAGGAACTGACTGCAATAGACGACTCATCTTTTACTACGAGGTAAAACGATCTCAGCGTGCAGTCTATTTTACGCCATCACAATGGTTGATTCGCTTTGGTCATTCTTGTACCATTCTCTGCCTTCGAAGGCCTACGTGTATTGAAGTATTAAACGAGGTTCAATTTAAATAAAGCTTTACATATTCCGAAATTAAATGTTGTAGTTTCTACGTAATGCAAGAACGTCTTGTGAAATGTAATGATTATTCATTTGGTTTCTTGGTATGTTTACTATAGGGCATGTTGTGATTTTAGTTCCTTAATATTAGCATAAGCTTTGTGCATACTTTTTATTCATTTTATTCTGTAAAGAATATTCCATACCGTTAGGATAGGCCTAGTATCACCAAATAAGTAGATATGCTTGCCATTGTTGTTTTTGTTAAAAGTTTTTGAGTAAAACATGCAGATTGTCTTTATTAGTTATAAATTGGAATAGTTGTAATATGAGTTTTTTTTTTAAAGCGTGCCATTGTATTTGCATTTAGAACTATCAACAGATATGCAGCATGCTATGTATTCATTCTGTTTTATATTTTTATTATTATTATTTATTATTATTATTCCAGGAAAAACACAGGAACCAGTTAATTAGTTATGTGTGTTTTTTTTTTTTTGCTATTTGCTACATTTAATTTACAATATACCGACTATTTTTTTAATTAAAATGTGCATCCATCATGCAATACAATTTCCGGTTTTATACTTGCAAAGTCTAAAAATAATGTGACAAATTTAACAAATAAGATAATTCTTTATTGTAATAATGTAATACAACTATATTATATCAACAACACAAAAAGTATTGTTGTTGTCCGTTGGAGTATCATGTTCCTAATAAATGCGAGTTTGCTTTAAAATATTTTTAATCAAAAAACTATATTAAGAAGCATACCGTTGTTGTGTGTGTTAAAGATATATTAATTAAGGTATCTCACATATAGCTTTGCCATATACAACTGATAATTAACCATTAGTTGTGTATGGCAAACCTGTATATGAGGTACCTTAATTCCCAGTTATTGGTTATGTTTAATATTAGTTAGACTTATTAGCGACAGTTTAAGGAATTCGAATTTCTCACCCACCATAAATGTAAATTCATTTGCAGCTGTTAGAGACAACTCCGAGTTACAGCGAAAATAGATTGCCGCTTTAAAAAACAAAGAGGGGGTGGTTATATTGTTCTCGCCTTTTGCGTTTAAGTAAGTAGTTTACTTTATTCTGTTTTATGGCATTTACATTTTATGTTAATACATATGTAGTATTGGTCATATGCTTCGCTTTAATTTAGCACAATATGTTTTACTTATCGGTGCTATTACCCTCACTGTCATTCTGGCAGCTGGATCCTTCACCGAAGGCTTTGCGGATATGGCAGATGCCGATGAAGCATTTGTGCTCTCCGCTACTCCGAATGAGTCGGAGTCAAAGGGTTTACAGGACGACAATAAACAGGAAAGTCAGCTGGGAACTTCAAGCAAGTCTCCGTCATCCCAGACAACCTACACTCAACAGGTTAGAACTATGTTAAAACATCAAATATATGAATTGACATAGAAAAAACTTCAAATATATGAACCGAACACTGATCTGAAAGCTAATCTTACTTCAAGAAAATTCTAGAATTATATAGTTCTAGAGTATGCAATTATTTAGAAAAATAAATTGAGGTACTTCATTAAATTCTGTAGTAAATTAACAGGTGTGGAAAATACGTTAGTTGGTATCAGACGACCAGTGCAGAATACGAAACTCTCTATTTACCATTTAGATTTCTGCAGGCACGCTAATCAGCAATCCACCATTTTCAGCTCTCTTTTGCTAGTTAATACACTTATGGCATGTGCTTAAAGTATTATTCTATTAATTTGTTGCTAATTTGTTTTTAATATTTTCTCCCTGTATCGCTATATAATACTCTTTATATATTAGATTTAAATAGCATTTTATCACTCATAACAAAGCATTTTAGAATAACCAGTTTGAAAGTAACGGTCGTACGTATGTCACGGCATTATTTTTGTCCTCATCGCCGTTGACGAAGAGGAGTTTTATCACGAAACTACTTAAAGGCCTTAAACTACTGTAGACTTAATTTTTATGATAAGTTGTATAAAAACAATAGATGGCATACAGTTCCTGTTGTGTTATCCTTCAATACTGACTATCTGCATTTAACTGCACAAATGAATAGAACATTGCATGGTCTTCCTATATTTATGTAATATATGCAACCGTAATTTGACATATCTGCGGTACCCCCCCGCTCACACACACACACACACTTTACCAGATTCTTCTGAAACAAAGAATATGCAACATATCTCGGCTTTCAGACAGTAGTGTTTGACTTCAGTAACATACTTGCTCTCATAAAAAGTTCTTACATTAATGAATGGCCGTTGATAGTTCTGAGTTCGATTTCAAAACCAAACTAACAACTTCATAAAAATATGTAGGAGTAAAATCAGCTGGCAGTTTTACTATTTTTTAAAAATACGTTTAAACACGAATGTTAATTTCGGTCTTGATGGCAAAAAACCTTACGTTAATGTATATTCTGTTGTTAATAGGGTATGGAAGGTATAAACGTCTACTTACATGAACGAGAGCTATGGACAAAATTCCACGAAGTTGGAACTGAAATGATCATTACCAAAGCAGGCAGGTAAGATACATCTTTTGCTGTATTTGGACATCTGTATTTGTTTGATATGTATCAAACAAATCAAATTGTACAACTTTCATGTAAATCCCTTTCTCCTAACTGAAAGAAAGCAACCATATGGCATAAAGCCCCCTCTTTCATATTGCTAACACAAAAAATACATCTGTGTTTGCGTATGTGTCTGTTGAGGATATATGCCTTACAATGAACATATTTAATGTCTTTGGGTTCTATATTTTTCCATCCATCCATTTTCTACAGCTACTTGTTCTGTGTGAGATCGTGGTTATCCTGCAGCCTATACCAGGAAGTGCCTGAGTGAGGCAGGGTATACCCAGGACAGGATATTTTTGTATCTTTAGGAAATAACATTTTAAAGATGAAAAATAGCTTGTTTTTAGCTGAATGTTCAAGGGCTACGGTCTAAATACTAGAGACTGAAGCTGTATTAATAGTCTTAATATAACATCCACTAATTTTTGGTCTTTTTCAATCAGTCATACATATTGAAGTTTAGGTTTGTGCAAGTGATCATTTTGTCTATTTCAGATTATTATACCTTATCATGAAACCTCTCACATGGGTTAAATGATTTTAAATATTATATCTCTATTCTATTCACACTGATCTTTTAATGTAGATCATTTAAAACCATTTTTTTTTGTCCTGGTGGAAACATTTTAAACACCCCCCCTAACATATCCCCCACCACCAGCAACACATCACCTTTTGCCAAAACAGTACAAGGACAGTGTTATTCCACCTGGTCAGTGTTAGTTCAAGAAAGCTAACTAACTGCTAACTCCCCTGATATATATATATATTTTGATGGACGATTGTTATTAAAATTTGACAATTTTTTATTAAATGAAATGTGCATTGTAGTCAAGTTAACAAAATGACGGTGTAATATTAACCAGTGTAACATAAACGCAAAAAATATTAAAAGAATTTGCTGATCATAATAAAAAAAAAATAAAGCAGCCATGCACACAAATAATGCATACCTTTGAGATGTACAATAAAAACAATTGCAATAAAATAAGTATTATTAACAAAATATATCAAATTTATATATGATGTATTTAAGCAGTTATTTGTTTATCTCCTTTCCTTTTAAGTCAATATAAGGACACACATAAATCTAATGTTTACATTTCATTCCAAAGCATAATAAAATTATGTTAAAATTTTATTTATATGTGTTATTGTTATTAATTTGTTTCATTGAGATGTTTTTATTAACTTTTATTTATTAACAAAGCTGTTCTCTAATAACAATTGGAAGAGCAAATTTACAAAACTGTTGTTTTTGAAAGGAGATGCAGTTGACCTAAACACAGGCTTCCTTATCGTATGTCAGAGCACTGGGAACCAAAACTCACTCAGTCCTCAAATTAAATTTCCAGAAGTGTTCTTGATAATATATCTCATGGAGTACATTAATTTTTTAAATTTGCTGTTCAGTTGTTTTTGTTGAATGAATTAAGACAAATTATTACATAGCCATTTAAGCAGACTTATAGAAAAATTTGTGGCTTTTACAGTAGTGTACAGGTTCACAGGAACTGGAACCAGGACCAGAAAATATATTTGTTTTGGGCTGCATATGGAACCTTAAGGTATACTTCTGTAAGTGTGTTATATACAATGGTTATGATTAAAATACATGGCAAATTACTAAACTTATGAACTGACTATAAGAAAACCACCTGTCAAACCCCTCGAGCAGTACTAAAAACGTTTCATCATCAGTATTAATGACCAGTATTGCCATCATTAATAGTTTGTTCTTCTCATTTCATTTTCAGGCGAATGTTTCCAAGCTACAAAGTGAAAGTCACTGGACTAAATCCCAAAACTAAATATATTCTCTTGATGGATATAGTACCTGCAGATGATCACCGTTACAAATTTGCTGATAACAAATGGTATGTAATAAATGTAATAAAAGTGTTTACTCTGACAGTGATTTAATTGATGGGGCTAATCATTTATGTGGCCTTCTAGAAAAGCCCAATTATTAATTGCAAAGTAATTCATTAAGTCATACAAACTTTAGTTCCATTTGATTTTATTATATGTGATAAGTTTAGTAAAAACTGAAAAATCCATCCTTCCATCTATGCATCATCCATCCATCCATCCATCCATCCAGCTTTTATAGCATTTATCCCATAAGCAGTCACAATGGACAATGGATTTTATTATTGTTGTTACTGTTGTTACTGTTGTTACCAATAATAAGTATGATATTATTAATTTACATATTTTACATCCACATTTATAATTTAAATAATATAGCCACAGTTGGCTGTTTTCGCAATTTTGTAGGTGGATAGTTCACTATTTACTCTGAAGAACGTTAATTAAATAAACATGTCTGTTACACTATTTGTGGGAAAGTTCCTTTATGTCTTCCTTCAACAAGGCAAACTATAGTTGTCATGGTGTGTATGTATGCATTCAAACTAAAAGATAACAATACAGTGGTAACTCTAAAATAACTGTTAACATAAGCCCCGTAAAACACTTAAGGATTCTGGGTCCCTGTGAACCCTGCATAGGACAAGCAGGTATAGAAGATGGATAATATCATTATTATTAATATTTCTGCTAACAAGACATTTGTGTTACATTTGAATTTATTGGCATTATTTAAAATCTAAACTTCCAGTTAACTTTGAAAAGTACCTCTTGAATAGCAAACACCAAGCCAGTCATTTTGAACTGGGACTTTTCACTGTGAGTGATCCAAAAATGATTTTACAATGACATATGCTGATTCAAACATTTTAGAAAATGTTTTCATAAATATATCAAATGAATACCAGTCGGTTCGCCCTTGGTCGCCTGGAAGTTTCACTTAAAGACATATATCATATAACAAAAGAAAGAATGAACAGGGCTGCGTTTCCCAATCAACGACGGAATTTAGCATTAACGATGCATCGTACCACGTAAGTCCGCAGTATCGTTACCTCCGTAGTTCGAACTATGGTTTCAGGAAACACCTGCGTCGTACTTACATAGTTTGAACCACGCAAGTTGCTAACGTAGTTTTGGGAAACGCATCCCTGTTAAGTAAGAATCAGAAAGTCGTCTCAGTCCTTATCAATAACTATATTTTGATAATTTTCTGTCAACAAAAAGATTATGCAGTTATCCAGTGATTATTGATTTAGTATTGAACAGTTTCTTGACATGGTAAGCACATATATTACAGTATGAGCTTTTAAATTTTGATTAATGCAAGAAGGAGACAAAAACCTATTTTACATAACATGAAATTTAATTAGGTGTGAGTTCTCAGAATTTAAATGCACACTGCAGAAAATTCTTTAAAATAACTTACCCATACTACTATTGAAACAATTAGTTTGATGAAATTAACATTGAAGTGGACCAAATTACAAGAAGAGGGCAATCGTTGAGTGCTAGTTATAAATGGTTGTTTTCAAGGACAATGATTTTATTGGACAGTTTCTTGTGCTAGGATATATTCAACTATTATCATTCTCTTTTACTTAACAGGATTTGACCTTTATTTTATTTTAAATATTGAGTTCGTGGTAGTTTCTAGTCTGACATAAAATGTTGGTTGTCTAAAAGGCTCATTCAGATCACTCCAAATGTGTGACCAGGTCAAGCCATTGTTAATGTATGATGAGCTCACCTATTGTGATTGTAAGCATTGTGAATGTGTGCAAGTCAAGCTAATGCAATATTAACTTTGGTGATACAGGTCTGTGACGGGGAAGGCTGAGCCTGCTATGCCTGGCAGGCTTTATGTACACCCAGACTCACCCGCCACTGGAGCACATTGGATGAGGCAGCTAGTCTCCTTCCAAAAATTAAAACTTACAAATAACCACCTCGATCCATTTGGACATGTAAGTGTTAAATGTTTTGTTGTCTGTACATTGTTTTCTTTGTGTTCCTGGCACTTGATATGTAAGGGATTTTACAAAAAAAATGATTATTATTATTATTCATTTTATTACCGTGGTTGTCCGTAGGTTTTAAAGATAGCGGTGGTTTATGAATATACATACATCAAGTATGTAAGTATTTTTTATGTTATGATGACCTAAAACATTATGTTACTAATGCATTCCATGCTTTGAAGAGCAATAATAAACAATCTAGGCCTATGTTTAAGTTCTGAAGTTCCAGACCTGGCTGTGGGTTTTTTGGAAATGTAGAATTGGCATAGGCATCTGTTTTGTTTGTTGAGCAACACTGCCTTTGAGCCCAATTAGTGTGCTTTTCACCATTCTAAGGTTTGGATTTTATTTGTTAGGAAACAGTGCAATTGAGCCCAATTAATGTCCAAATCTCAAATATGCTGTAAAAACTGACATCACTTACGTCATGCATCTCCTTCAATAGTCTTATGTAGATTTAATATGGTGCATTTGGAACAATATTAAAAGAGGCTGAAAACAAAATGTCAAAAAGGGTGGATTTAATAGTCAAATTAAATATTCTGGGGCAAAACTATTGAAGTTATAAAGGTTGAATGCAATAATAACCAAAACAGTCATTCAATAGGATCAGAATATACTTTCAAGATTTTATTGTTTGCACTATATGTGCACAAGCCTTCAATTTTTAGATGCTATGGAGATATGTGTAATTCATTGATTCTGTGACTCAGCTGTGTCAAATAATCATGTGAATGCTAATAAGTACTTATACAGCATATACTTCTAACTTTGGGGAATTCTTTTGAATTATTTAAAAACATTTTAAACCATAAATTTTTATATTGTTATAGTGATCATGACAAAGCACACTGAAGTATGAATTCAACACATTTATAAAAATCAAAGAACGTAAAAATATTATTACTAAATATTATGTTTAAAATTTCAGCAAAAATAACTTGCCTGCTCATCGAAATTTTACACTACTTAATTCATTAGTTAATCTAAAAATAAATGCTATGAATACCTAAATTGTCAAAATAGGTTTTAATCAAACAAGTGCTTTATCGAATATAAAATGTTTGTATGAAATGTGTATGGTAGAGTCTACCTACAAATGCGTGAGGCTGGTAAGTTTTGCTTGTATGTACAAGGGCAAACTTCAGTGCCTCAGACCCTACTTAGAAGTTAAAAGTTAGAAGTAGAGAACGGCCATCTTGTGGGCTGGTCTTTAGACTGTTGATCTTTCAGATGCAAACATTTTAGTTCATCCATCTGTGTGATTTTGATGCAACTATTTTCACTGTACATATATGAACTTACTGTACAGTGAAAATATTTAAATATCCATCCACCATCCATCCATTTCCCAACTGCTTATCCATCACATGATACTGAAGTAAAGATCTGTAATGATTATGCAGCTGTTTCATCTAATAATTTTCTAATTATTAATTTGGCTAAATAATTATTTTCAATATTATACCAAACTTGTTATTATTGTCCAACAGCTGAAAGTATAAAACAGCTCCAGGAGCTTCAGTAGCCTTCACATTACTTATTATATACTGATGGTCAACAAATACATTTTACATATATATCATGACATCAGTTTAAGAAAATGAAGGAAATAATGTGGCAAAAAATGTCTTTTTTTTAAGGCATATTACCTGCTTTATCTAACTGAAACTTTAGTTCAACCCAAAATTAGTAAGGTAATTATAAAGTATTTTATTTATGAATATTTGGGAAAGAGGATGATGTTGACAAAACAAATTTAATAGGGTAAAAATGAATAGCTTATTCTTAATAAATAATACATTTACTATCCATTCTGAATTGTTATACGTATCGCCTGATAATCACATCTCTTTTCTGGATCTGGATGAGTTTTCAGAGACATAAACATGAGTTTATCATGTCATAAATGTGTATGTTTGAAACTTGTGGTACTGCAGAAAAAAAATCACAGAAATTCTCAAATATGAAAATGTTCATATCTGTAATGATTAAAATAATGCCAAACAGCATAATAAAGCCATACTGATAGAGGAAAAAAACACTGGAGTCAACATTGCAAATATATAACATGAGAAATGGGATAGCAGCTAAGTAACATAGAGGACATGCTGTGCAAGATAAGATAAGATAAGATAAGATAACTAAAACAGATAGGCCTAATTCCAAAGTAAAGTGCAAATCAATGAATGTATGCATATGCATGTATTTATCCATCTGCTTATTTTTTGTGTTATTTGGAAAAATATTCAAGATACATTTATCACATATGAATATACATTTAATTATATCATATTTAAAGGAAATTATAGAGTCAGTTATTTGTGTTGACTGAAGTTTTAGTACAAAATACATTGCACGTTCACTAGTAATACACCTTTTCACGATATCGACTGCTTGATTCAGTGTCATTCTGTGTTATTGGTATTGTAGAACAAATCATGCAGGGCAGCTTCTGAGAACCTGAAGTTGATATATGCTGTCTCCATTAGAAAGTGCATAAGAATCTAAATCTACTTAAATTGCCAAGAGTATTTCTTGATTATAGCTAAGGTCATGAATGTGTTGTGCTATTTAATTATATTTCTGCAAGTGTTACAATTATTAAAGTATTAGCTCGTGCGTTTAGCGTGCTTATTATATATTCCAGTAAAATGTATTAATACTGGTACATATTTTTGCAGATAATTTTAAACTCCATGCACAAATACCAACCCAGACTTCATATCGTGAAGGCCGACGAAAATAATGGATTTGGGTCCAAAAATACGGCGTTTTGTACTCACGTATTTGCAGAGACTTCGTTTATTGCTGTTACGTCTTATCAAAATCATAAGGTAAGAAGTTTGACCGTCTAAGTTCCATAATTATGTGTGAAAATCTTACAGTTTGCGTGTTTCTGTTACAAAAGCAATACAGTTAAAATTCCATTACAGATCAATATACTGTTCGTATAATTAATAAAATATATTTTATCGCGTAGGTCAAATTCTTTACATTGTAGAAGCGATTTGTGACTAAGATGACAACAAGATTGTTTTGAAAGCAGAATTGACTGTTACGTGGGCTAATTAATGCTAATTAGCCTGAATAGAACATTTAAAAAAATAAAATAAAAAGCAAACCAAAATCCAGCAGTGGGAAAGTTAACACAATGATAATAGGTGTATTTACACCAACTGTGAACTAGTAGTTAGCCTACGTGTACTTTCTGCCGTGGTGTGACATATTGTGGCATTTTAGCTGCTTTAATTTACTAAAGTAGGGCTGCTTGAAGGACTCCTTAAATAAAAATGTCATGTACTTGTTGTTCGTGGGTGAGTTTCCCGAAGCCTTCTTAACGCTATACGTCGTATGTTAAAAGATAGAATTTACGAACGAAGTTTCGCTAAGAAGGCTTTGGGAAACTCACCCCGTGTCGATTCGATCAAACCGTCCTGTGACGTTTGGCATCGGTCAGCTAAAATTCATAAATATTTTAAACGAAGTTATTTTATCACAAACCCAGACGTTTAACTTCTGAATAAAGCGAAAGTTGTAGTCATGCTTCCTTAATGTAAATTGAAGTCTGTCAAAGATACGGCTGTTATAAATATTCGAAGATTAAGTCTCAAAGGGCTGAAGCACTTGGTAATATTGTAATGAGGAACTCCTAATAAATTCTGGTTATATTTCAATTATTTTAAAAGACTGTGAAGATTTCAAAGACCCAGTGTTTTTTTTCCCTGAGACAGAAAAAAGCAATAAAAAAAAATGCAGTCTGAGAAGTTCCTGAAATAAATTCCGTATTACCCTATAGGAAAAACCGCGTTGCACTTGTGTGTAAATTCAAGTGTTTAGCAAGAACGAATAATTAAAAATATGTAGGTAGTTTTTCATTATTTTAATTTCTTTGCATGGACAAAACTGAAGTCACAGTGGCATGGTCAGAACTTTCTTTTGATATTACTTTACTATCTAAGACGCGTCCAGTTTGATTTATTCCAATAAGTCTGTTTACAACTTGGATAAGGAACTGAACTGTTTATTTCCCTTGATCAACACTGTTATGCTTCCTATGGCAGGGAGAAGGCCCCAAGCCCACCAATAAAGGTCAGAGACCACAAACTTTTAAGGGCTGAAGAAAATTACAACACAACGGTGTAGCTTATTAAATTCAGGGTACAAATTCAGTCAGACAAATGAGAGGGTTCTTTTATAAGAATCTGAAAAGCACCATGTTTACTTCTGTAATTCAAATAAAGTTATTTAAATAAAATTAAATTAATCTCGATACACCCTCTATATATGGGATATATGTTTTTTTTTTAAAATTATATTGGGTATATGATTTTCCCCAAAATAAGGCCAGTTAATTTTTTTCCAATACATCTCATGTTTTTCACGGGGGTCCAAATTAACTTCTACTTTAAGGTAAGCTTTTATATAATTACAACATTGATTCAGTATTTAACAACTGGTGGAGCATATATATGATGGCGGCAGCATGTATCTAAGAGTACAGACTATCTCACCTGTTTTTAGACATTGTAGGTGAGACTCCAAATATGAAATGTGGATCAGACTATTGTTTGAGAGCTCTTATCTTTATCTCACATGTCTCTCTCTCTCTCTCTCTCTCTCTCTCTCTCTCACACACACACATACACACACACACACAGAAATAGCATACATATGTACAGAAAGTAAACTAAACACAGAAACCTAACCCACATCCGAAACAGCTAAATGTTCAGTATAGTGCTCTATAGTATAATGTCTAATACTGTACATAATATAATATTTCTATATTTAATTATTCTAATCCTAATAGTGTGTGTGTATGTATGTATGTATGTATGTATATATATATATATATATATATATATATATATATATATATATGCATAGGTAATGTTTACACATTTAAAATGACATTATATGGAAATTTTCTAGCCCAAAACGAACAGGCCTACAATGAACATAATAATATATAAGACAAGATGTATATTAGGCCTATGAAATCTAGATCCCAATAAATTTTAATTTGATTATGAACCATATTATATGTATATGCATATAGAATAAGAAGAGTTTCTATTTTAGTTGGTAGGGCAAACATAAATTTATTATTGATAATAAAAATTATGTCCGGTAATAATAATTAAATAATTTATAAAATGTGCTGAGTCTATTATTTTCATTTTTAACATGATTAAGAGTAAAGGGCAACTTAGCATTGTTGAGCTTTTATCTTTTATATATTTTATAAACTAACATTTTGGTAAATTAAACTAAATTTTGGCATTTTCCCCGATAATACATGTATTATCCCATTCTTATTATTAATATTATTTACTCACCTTTTACATTTTTGAAACCAATAAGAGAAATTTACTGAGATTTGTGCCCAAGTGAGTGATTACCCACTGAGTGGGTAATTTGTTAATTGTGTAGATGCGTACGCAATTCATAATGGTTTAATGGCGCATGAATATGCTAAAGAATAGGCTATGAAAATTCGATTATCTTTAGTAGAAAAAAACAGTGTGGTCAAAATAATGGAAAATCTTATATATATGACAAGAATATGTGAGAAGAAGCTCATTTTGATGGGCCATAAAATGTTAGTAGGCCTACATCCTATATCGGTTTTTGAAACGAAAAATGCATTTAAACAAACCAACGAAACGAATCTTAGCCTATATATTTGAAGAGTACTTTAGAGAATGGTTTCCATGAAAAAAATGTTACTAGAAATATGATTAATTTATGGCCGTTTCACTGTTTTCTTGCCGCTGCCTAGAACCGTATACTATTCTTAAAAGGTGAGGTGGGGCAGGAAGCAGAGGAAAATGAGAACCATTATTGCCTTACGAGCCAATGAAGACGAAAGCCAATGAAGACGGAAGAGGAAATCCAAACGAATGTTTTTTCGAAACATACCGTTAATTATATCCGATGACGTAAACGAGAGGTCCGTAGACCACAAACTTTTGGGCAAATAAATACTTTTATTAACTTACATAGATTAGAGCTGCGGGAATAAATAATAGAATGTCTTCGGGAGTTACAAGCGTTCCACCGGTCTCGTTGTTGGTTTCTGAAGGTTCTTCTGAAGGTATTTGACACATAGAAGTTCTCTTGCGTACCTGTTATCGGGTTTTTAAGACCTCCCCGAGATGTTTGCAATATTCCTGAACACAAGGCTTACTTGCAAAATATTGTAAAGGAACAGATAAGAAAGCGCAGCCCTACACTTATGGTCTACCGTTTAATGCAGAATAAGCGTTTACGTATTTTCTAACATTATTTTAATTTATAAGCTGTATTTCCAGTGGAATTGGTGGGGCACGTGAAAGAACAAAATAAACTTTTAATTAAATTAGGATATTCTTAATCTGGACCGAATTTTTAAAATCTTTGTTTTTCAGATAAAGTGTCAGAAGTCTGTGGATGGTCTTGGATGAAATACATTTTTTCCAAATTTAAAATAATAAGCTTGTTAAAATAATGATTACGTTCCACCACAATGACTGTTACCATTATTGTTAATGCAACTGTACCATTACTAGCACCATCAATAGTAACAATAATAAAATTATTATGTTAGGCTAAATAAAACGTTCTGTAGTTAATAATGTGCTGTGTTACTTTCATTAAAAAATTAACAGAACTGTTTTTCATAACATAAGAAATGTATTAGCTGATCGCAAAAAATGGGGCCTGTTCTTCCATCCGATCCTTAAGTCAAAAAAGCGCTTAAAAGTTATGTGACTTTAACTGTATTCTTAAGTCAAAAAAGCGCTTAAAAGTTATGTGACTTTAACTGTATTCTCCCCTCATGAGAGCGGTTACTGCCATCGCACGTGACCCTAAAAAGAAGGTGCGCCAGAACAAGAAGTGAAATTCATCAAGCGAGATAACGGGTTGCGCCCTCAATTATTTTGGCAACAATCAAAACGTAAAACTTTAATTTTCATTGTCAATCTAATTGAAATTCGCAGAAACCCTTTAATTCTGACTACATGGTGGTAGTCTATTACCCCTATATTTGGTCATTCTCAGGAACTGGACCACCCTAGGGGAGATTCTGTTGAGCGCCCCCACCCCCACCACAGCAGCAGAAAACAAATTTTGTCAGTTCGTTTATTTAGGAAACATTTCAGTAGCACAGGGTATGTTACAGTGCAATGCAGAGTTTGATTTTTATGCAGAGCAATTGACAATACCGTAACTTATTAGGTGTGTTAAAATTATCATTTGTAGCTCTAATTTAATGATCCTCAAATATATACTAACGCAAAACAGACAGACTGTTTTTAAACCTTTCAGCTTTATTGCATGTAACCCACAATAGACAATTAGTACGTTCGTTTCTTCTATTTTTAATAGTCAATTGTTTTACTCCGCAATTGATTAACTGTCCGAGAAGCATAATCCACATTTTAGACAATGGTGCTACATAATGTATAATTAAACTGAAGTTATGCTCTTGGCGGATAAAATAATAATGCCATCAACTGCATAGTCCAAACAAGTTTATAGGCTACAGCGTAGGCTGCAATATATAATTCCAAACTAACTGCTAGTCACTGCTACTAAAAACCCACACATCTACCCCATTTCGTGTAAAATGGTAACCAATTAGGCGAGTGTCATTGTCAGGCAGTTCTATTGGGGACCCTTTACCTAGTGTAGGCCTAAGTAGTTTAAGTAGGCTATATATGAAGTGTATGTAAGTTTACGAAAATACGAAAGACGAATCGGAATTCAAAACGGAGCCTATTTTTTGCTCATTTTAATTGATAGAATTGCTGTTCTAGCAAAACGTCCTACTTTATCAAAACAGCCTCCCGTAGTGCTAATCGATAGCCCTAACTGTTACCCTAACCCCCCAAAAACCCCAAAAACCCTTACCTTAACCCTAACCCCTAAACCCTAACCCTAATCCCAAGACAGTGGAACTGCACATCCGCAGAAAGGCTCGATAGCACGTCTGGATAGGTAGGATGTTATGACAGAACACCGGTCGTTTAGCCTAATTCACTCGCCTACTAGGGCCGTTGACAAGACAGATGTCACTTGAATCCTGCCCAGTAATATACTTTGTAGGCTAACTGTAATTGTTATAGAGTGAAATGAGTTATTCACAAGCGTTTTGGATCGTAAAATTTGTTTCTAAATGTATGATACGTGTCAGAAAGTTTCGTTTGGTTACACGTTCGGCTTTGTGAAAACTTCAGTAGGCTATTGCGTTTGGTCGTGTATAGGCGCGTGACTTAAAAAAGGCCCATAAGAAAGTCGAATCGGAATGCACGTAAGGGTTATTCATATACATCACGCCCATACTTTGATGTTTCTCCGCCCACAATACGTATCTAGTTGATTTATACTTCTGCTTCCAATCGAAGTCGTGATTACGGCGTACCTGATCTTGCCGTAGTCTAACGTGCACCTCCCCAGAAATGTAACTACACGCCGCGACGACGCAGACCGCAAAAATGGGATTGGTCCGTTTGGTAGCATTCGTTTTTCATGGGAGCGAAGAAAGCCTACATCCCAGGTATAGTTAGGGTTAGGGATTGAAACTGAAGTGATGCTTATATCTAACATTAAATAATCCACCCTAGGCATCGTAGCAACAGGTCTACAAAACAATCAGAATTTCACCTACCTCCATTCCTACTTTATTCGTAGTTTATTCGTACTTTACAAGATTAAAAAGGTTAAAAGTAGTACAGACACTAACTACAGAAGGAAAAATGCATAAAAAGTGACTTTGTAGTGGCTAATCATTTTTCCAAATGTATCTGTAGGAAGTTTGGAGAAGCACAGATATAACCAGGACTCGATAAATGGATATTTTGTTAAATGTTTTTTCAGTTTCAATTGCATGATTCAACTATTGAATATATCGAAGGGTGGAAAAACAAACGCAACATACAAAATTATGTATCACCTAGCATTTGGCGGTGTAATTACTGATTAGATGTATATAAACAGTTTCTGGTGCAGAAACAAATTACTTTACCAGTAGAGAAACACCATTGCATATCTGGACAGACATTATGATCAAACTGCAGTTTTTACCACTGACATGGTATTTAAAAACATAGCCATCACAGTCTGTGTGCCAATAGGCTGAAGAGCTTAAACATTATAAATCTGTTATTTGAAAAGTGAGAAAATATATGACACAATTATTAGTATTAAATAGGAAGCCTTGAAAGACTACTTATTCCTGTTTTTTACTGATCTGATGATCAGGCATACAAAATACATGTACCCCGTGTAGCCATCTCTACTGGCCACCCAGAGATAGTCATGAGTCATTTTGCATGGTTGGCTCATCTTGCCCTGTAAGAGGTAGCCTGTCTGATCTCCAACCTGTTATTTTTCTACATACCATGTTTGATTTATAGTTTATATATGTGCACTAAGTAAGCAGGATCAGTTAGATTTAGCAACATATCAGTGACTTGATTACCAAACAATTTTTTAAGTTGCTGAACACATTTTTTTATATTGTATAGAAAATTTTCATCAAGATTATTTAGAAATATTTGCTGCATTATGTTGCAAGCAGAAATTCATTACTACTGAAATACTAGGCCCTTTCGGCACAAATATCAAGGAATCAGAAGCTACCACTACTGTCATATGAGCATAGTCTACTGCAGAAGACTTCCCTGTATTTAATTACTAAGAAACAAGAGCCCATTCTTGGTGTTCCTTGAATGTTTCTACATCTAGAATCTCTGTTATCTAGGAAGATTGTTGATAATTATTCTAAAATGATTTCATTAGGTGTTAGTATGTACATGTACTCATGGTAACACTCCTGTCATCATGGATGTAACAGAGTAATACACAATGGACATGTTCCCTAACACCTTGATGGTTGTTTCACAGATCACACAGCTGAAGATTGAAAACAACCCCTTTGCTAAAGGCTTCCGGGGGAGCGACGACATGGAGCTTCACCGGATGTCCAGGATGCAGAGGTATCTATAATAGCCACCACACCTTAGAGTGTTTTTGACCAATTTAAATGCTGCTTCCTTCAGGAATTTAAAATGCAGATAAGCCTTTTCTTTTTAGATGTATTGGATAAGTTTATGCTTAAGAATGGTTTTTATTGCCTTGTAACAGCCAATAAACATCAATTAATCAAATGTTAGGACAAAAAATGGGAATGATAATTTATTAGATTATAACAGATAATTTTCATATTAGGCAAAACAATCTTGAAACTCAAAGAGGATACATCATTGTTCTTTGGTTCTTGTTTGTTAACTGCTTAATTATATGTAACAAATGTTATGAGCAGCAATATAAAATTCAGAATTTAGAGGGTATTTCTCTCACGTGTCTGATTCACTCAGATGATCACTATGAACAATGTCAGATTTTTTGTCAAAACATAACACTGACCATCAACCACTGCCTTTTCTCTCATAGCATTTTCCCTAGCACTTAGATTTTAAAGGTCAAAGAACAGAACTTTGCTGAAGGATCAGAATATTGCAAAAACACACTGTTTTATCATTAGGGGACACTGATTTGCCTTTCCCTGCTGTAGTTGACAAAACCAACCATTTAAATAGAAAAAGTAGCAATAATTATTACATTTTATGCTGGAACTATTCTTCTCACTCTCTCTCATCCAGTGGTGAGCATAGGTGCCGGATAGGGGGGCTTTCTTTAACCTAAACCATAATAATCATACTGGTACAAAATATAAACCAGTGAGCATGTTTCAGTCTACGCAAGGGTGAAGTAGACACAAGCTTCCCTGATTATTATGTCTGGATGACAACCATGGAAGCCCATACAGACTAGCAGTCATTAATAGGCTGTTCCTATGCCTCAAATCATTTTTAATAATATGAAAGAGTCTAAAAGGAAGGAGCATTGATTACTATACACTTACATGAAGATACTGCCTGCTAAAGTCCGAGACCCTGTTGTAGTACCCTTTACTAAGGAACTATGCCTCCTGTTGTAAAAATAGTAAAAGATCAAGACTTCGTAGGCAATGTGAGTCATTTTTATCAAGGTATCTGCTAAACAATTTAGCTTTTATCATTACAAACAAAAATATCTTAAATTTCTTATAAAAATCTTACAAAAAAAAATTAAGAAGTTACATTCAAAAAGATTGTAAGGCTCTTTCGCTGTTTGGAGAGGGAAATGGAAGCTAATGAGTCAATGGTTGGGTTTAGCAGTGGAGATATTATGTAATGTAACAAAACTTCGTGGAGTATTTTTAGATCTATCCTTTATGTATGTTACTGAAATTTTGGGTTGAATAATGGTTAGCAGCAAAATGCTCTACAATTTTAGAAAGGTCAGAATCTGAAAGTGCATGTTTGTATGAGAGAGGAAGGGAGGATTTTTTTTTTTTATATGAATTCCTTATTTTTTTTAAGCCCATAGTCAGATTGGTTTAGTCAGGTCAAGCCAAAATTAATTCCTGTATGAATGTCAAAGCATTACTAAAGTGTAAAAATCTAAGCTTCATATTATAGGTCATTGTGACACCAATGCCTTTGGGATTTTATTTAAATTGGCTAAATTGTTGAGGTTTAGTGTATTAGCCCATTAAAGCTTTTATTTTAAAAATGATGATTGACTTGATTCAGTGGTCACATACAAATGCACTGCCAATAATAAAAACTGATTATTTACACAAGCATTTGAAGATTGCATTAAATCTTCAAAGAAAGCAAAATATTTACTTACACAATACTGACTTGCAATGGTGAATAAAAATACCACCATATTTTTAAAGCCCAGGAGAGACAGATGCAACCAAAATATCTAGCATCTTTAGTTCAATGACGGCAATTAGGACAAATTAGGCTGTCTTAGCATACACAGATTCACTCTGAGTCAGAAGTTGTTAGTCATCCTGTCATCATATCATAATAATGGTTATAAATGGAGATAATGATTTATCATAGTTAAAAAACTTGGCTTTTCCCATGCACTGTCATGCCTAATTTTCGCTATTGCATGTCTGCAACAGTAAGGAGTACCCAGTGGTCCCTCGCAGCACAGTGCGTCAACGGAGCACATCTAGCCAGAGCCCTTATAGTGGGGAGGTGCGTGGCCTCCCTACACCGACTGGCCTGAGCTCCCCATACCCCTGTGAGAATGGTGTAGGCAGCAGTCCACCAAACCTGCTCTCCCAGACAGGCTCCTACCCCCTGCCCCACGATCACAGTCAGGTATACCACTGCACCAAGAGGAAAGGTGAGCAGGCCTCCACTACCGCAACACAACTAGACTTCAGTCAATCAATAAATTAAATTGTAAGTTACGTCATCTTATGCTTTAAAATGTTAAAATACACTCTACTGTGGAAATACTTCAGAAAATCAACCTTTTAAGAGAAAATTGCTTGGCAATAACAAAGTACGTACACTCAAGGGGGGTATTCCACAAAACAGGTTTTCTAACTTACCTGGGGAGGATTCCACAAAGCAGGATTTCTTCATTAGCCAGATAACACAAGCCAAATGTAAGGATTGTCCAATAGAAATGTCACTTACCTCTCTTCCTATTGGCCAGTTTTCATGTTTGGCTTAAGTTATCAAGCTTACTAGGAAATCCTGCTTTATGGAATACCCACAGGGCAAAATAATAATAAAAAAACTGGCCAAAGCTTAATGTTCAGCATGTAGGATTTAGCCGATGTTTTGCTCAGGAGTGTACATGAAAGTTAAATATGAACAGCTACTATAGTTACATTAGTTCATTGTCATGAGTACAGAAATTTCTTACTCCTTATATATTATTACATTATGCTTCAAAGACAAATACAGATTGGGATAAACCCAAGTGACCCCATAGTATGTGCTGATCTTTAAAATCCTTTCTGAAGTTTACAATTTGCAAACATCAGAACTCTAAATTGCATCCAAACCACCTTCATATTATTATATGCCCAATCCACCAGCAGAAGATAGTAAGAGCGTAATGGTATGGCTCCTTCACATGGAACCGATAAAAACAGGTATCTGCTTAGCAACAAAATAGAGTAGTGGAATGTGGCATGTTTCAGGGATGAGTAACGAGCAAATTCTGATTCATATGAGTAATAGAACACAATAACTGCAAGTAATGAAAGAAAATTTAAAAATTGTAGTCAGAGTACTATTCCATGAATGGGAATCTGAAGAATGAAAAACCAAGTTCACTGTCAGACATGGAAGGGAAATTAATGCAGAGTAACATTGAAAAATATCCAAGAGTTGATAATGTTATACACCCACGGAACAAATGTAAAAAATTTTCCTCAAAACTAGATATTCAAGATCTCTGACATATTGATGCTGTCTTATTGATCTTAAATAGTTTGTTTCTGATATCATGCCTAGTGTATTAGAATTTAAGCTAAGCTTCTTGTTTGTGATCTTAGGGCGCTTTTCCACCGCACAAAGTACGGTACTTTCGGTACGGTACTTTCGGTACTTTTCCATTGACTTCCGGTCGAATACCAGTACCGAAAGTTAAAGTACCGAAAGTGCCAAACCAGTTGGGGTACTTCTTTGGTACTTCGGTACTTTGGGGTGGGACTTGCAAATGTATTTGCTGTCGATTGCCGCTGAAACACAAAATACAACCGCCATATTTTGAAACACACAGCGAACAGAGCGATCACCGCGAGAAACAAAATAAAAAGCAGTAGAAACAAAAATATAAAAAAGTAAAATGGAAGGATGGACAAACGAGGAAACACAGGCTTTAATCGCCATATGGTCGGATGAACAGATACAGTGGGATTTGGATGGCACGAGTCGAAATAAAAAAGTTTTTGCCGTTCCGGGCAATTCAGTTTTCTATGTTTCCCCTGTCGCGCGCTGACTTGTACACGGTTTCGCTGTTGTTTTCATGTCTTTTTACGAAGCTCTTGAGGTAAACAAGCCATATATTAATTTTAAAACATCACATGCCTTTTCTATGTTTTTTGTTTTTACAGATAATAAATGAAATTATTTAATTCGCTGGATAGAGATTTCTTGATGAAAACGGTATATTATTGCTTATAAGACTGTATTATGCGTGACGATCTACTGTATTCACATGTAATAATGTAACTGAGTGATTTTCAGACATTTCACATACCTCTTTGCTTTAATATTAGGGGAAACATTATTTCCTGATGGACAGGAGAAACATAGGGAAACTGAATTGCCTGGAACACCGTAATACCAAGCCGCTTGGAAGAAATGGGGCACACGCGAAACACCGAACAATGCCACTTGAAAATCAAAAAACATAATTAAATAATTTGTTTGCTCTCAAAAGACTAAATTAGCAGTAAGCCAATTCTTACTGCTTTGATCGGCTTAGCCAAAGTAAGTTTACCTACATAAACGTAATTGATGGCAGCATGATTTGGATTTTACTGAATCTTATACTGTGATAGAAGCTGACATACTGTAACAATAAACCGCATTTTCCAGCCTCAACTGTTAGTTTTAATTTTGGGCTGTCAGTCAGGGGCGGTCACTGATGATGTCATTTGGCGCCGGTACCATTTTTTACGCCAATGGAAAACTGACATGAAAGAAGTACCAAACTTTCGGCATTTCGACACGAAAGTACGGTACCTGGTGCGGTGGAAAAACGCCCTTAGTTTGTTAGCCTTTTAGCTAAGGTGCTTTTTGGTGACCTCAGCTCTTTCTTTGTCTCTTGCTGTAGTGGAGGATGAGTGCCACACAGGAGATCACCCATACAAGAAGTCCTACCTTGAGAGCCCCCCAAGTGAGGATGAGGCCTACTACCGTTCTGCTAACTACTCCCAGTCTGCAGGTCTGGCAGGGAATTATAGAACTGAGTCTGCACAACGGCAGGCCTGCATGTATGCTAGTACCACACAGGGGCCCGAAGCCACAACAGCTTTGGAGGACATCAGCTGCAGTCCCTGGGCTCCTGTGCCATCCTACAGCAGCTGTCCTGTGGCACCTATGCAGCCTATAGAGCGGTTGCCTTACCAGCACTTCTCAGCCCACTTCACTTCCAGTCCACTGGTGCCAAGACTTAGTGGGGTGGCAAGCCACGCCTCCCCTTCCCTGAGCGATGTGCATGGTGTGTACCATAGCTCCGTTCCCCATCAGACCCTAGGCCGGTCCTGCGGCCCCAGTGGGAGTCTCCAGTCCTCCTCTGCAGGCCTTCAGGGCAATGAGTATCTGTACACCCATGGTATGCCCCGTACACTATCCCCACAGTACCACACGGTACACCCCGTGGGCCTCATGCCTGAGTGGAGTGACGGCAGCTAGTCGGACGATTTTTGTACATAACCAAAGACTACAGCCTACGCTTCAGAAGGCAGAGGGTGGAGTTACACATTTATTAATATTAATATTAAACTGTTTTCCAGGCACATCTGAAGACAGTGTTGGTGTATTTGGCCATTTGTAGAGGTCATATGAAAGCCAGTCCTTAAACTAACAATAGCATCATAATCTCTTTTCATGTAAGAAAGGTAACTCTCAGAGTCCGTTAATGGAAGGTACAGATTCAATGATATCTTGGGAGAACCACAACCATCACATTATGCATCTTGTCCTTTTATTTATTACTTTTCTCCTTGGTGTTTTGGGTTTTTTTTCTAGTGAAAGCATTCATGATTTTTGTTGTGGAAAAGAAAGGATACTGAGGATCCCTGTTTTGATGGAATGGCTTCTGGAAACTGATACTACTGCTGTCATCTCTGTGAAAGAGACCAGAGCCGTTTGTTTCTTTTCCGTAAAAATCCTGTCAGTGAAACTCAAATCTTGGATTTTGAAATTCGTGCTTTGTCTATTGATAAACTCATTTCAGTGAGCACAAATAGGAAAAAAGTATAACCTTCAGTGTTTTTAACCAAACATATTTTTACACTATGAAAAAAGTCCAGAAAAATGCTGTTTCAGAAATGATTCAATAGTGTTAATGTGTACACACAATCCTCTTGAAGGTAAAATGTTATTGGTTGATATTTAGTTTTTTTTAAATGTTTGTAATTAACCTACTATTAAACATTTAAGTAAAAGAAAGATAATAAAAAATATTTAAGTCATTCCAATTATTAGGTTGTCTGCGTCCCTGTATATTGTCTTGGAGGTATCTTAAGGAGTCAAAGAGTGTACTTAATCAGGCCAGGGGGAGTAAAACCTTTCTGTGTTTCTCTCAGAATATTACCATTGTGTGCCAAATTGCAGATTACTTAGCATAACATCGAGCCATTATCTGTGTCATGTGCGTAGTGGCTATGCTGTCTTGGTTTTGTGTTCTCATTCAAATGTGTGCATGTTACCTGAACAATCACAGGTGATTGAAGCAGGCCTGTAACCAGAAATGAATTGCAAGAGGTGTCCAAACATAGTATATAATGAAACACAAGAAAAAATTCATTTCAGTTGCAATTTTGTTTGCGGTTAATTTTTTTTACAACCTTTTGTAAACTCATGTCACTATATTTAAAAAACACCTTCGCATTACATTGTCAGTCAAAGTGTAAGTACAGTAGTAGCCATTGTAATCATGCTCTAATCATGTTCAGAGACATCCGTGAGCAGTAAATAAATACTATTATCAATTACATGTTACTTTATATTATTGTTACAGTGCATAATATAACAGATATATATTACTTTTACATGCATTCTTTATCTTGTGACTCAAAGCACAAACACTTCTATCAGCTGCACGACTGTGAATGATCAATACTAATCAGCAGGACCTCATGAGATTGTATACACAACCCATGGGTAAAAATAATTGCAGACTGTTGTCTTAATGCAGAAGTGTTTAACTGACTACCAAAATGGTTTAACCCGCAGAAAAAAATGCATGTCACTTCTCTACTTTAATGTAAACAAGCAATATTTCATAAATTCAGAAATAAGATACTCTCTCGAAACTCTTCATATGGCATTCCGTGTCGGTCCTTTAAATATTTATATAATTTGCGGTGTTTGCCCCTTTTGTCAGTATGGTATGGTGGCACAACTTGCATATGTCCTGTATCTTTCATTTAGCACAAAGCCAAAGTATTTCCAGATGCTATTCTGCCCACATTCTTTATCGATTAAGCACAATACAGAAAGTTCTGATGCTTCTCAACTAGAGATCTTAGTTTAACACCCCGTGTGTGAAACTGCACTCAGGTCTAGGCACGCACATTGGTAGCTTACAAGACTCAGTGGTCAGAATGAACCAGAAGTGCAGGCTGTAGAATTGATACCATGAAGAATGAGTATTGAAACCATTTTATAGGTACATGATAGAAATTGGTACTTTCAGTACTTTTGATACTTTTGACAACACTAGTTTGAAATTCTGTTTCTAAAAGCATATAGGAACATCTATGGCTCAGGGTTAAAACTTACAGTAGGTGATGAATCAATGGGACAGCCTTCTGGTAGATGGGTCCCCATAGATTTCCATCACACGGCATGAACCCAGACACTGCGCTAAAAATGCATGCTGGTATGATGCTGTGCTTCAGACAAATGTCTGCACAGGTCTTAGTTCAATTTAAAGCCCTGTCTACCGAACAAGAGTGGAAAAAATAAGCAAAAGCTGTTATTTAATGGTAGATTTACAGTGCTCCAACTCAGGAAATCACTCGGCACACAGTTGACCGTATTTCCTGAAACATATATCAGAAAGTTTATTTCCATACTTATTTGTAAATATTTTGTTAAATTATATTGTTTCTGTAAAATTATGATTTTTTTTCAAGTATGTTTAACTAAAGAGGGAAAATAAAAATGACAAGGGAATGTAATGGGAATGGCTTGCCCTAACAGAATAACAAGACAGATTTTTGGGGATTGTGTTATGTATTACGACACATAATGAACAGGCTTTTGTATTCATCTTAATTTGATGCAGATTGTAATGGATAATGGGAAGTCAAGGATCTATACACATCCCTTTCATACAATCTATGAAATTATGACTAATATTGACTATTATTTTCAGAAAGTAAATTTGTAGTTTATCACTCTTGCCTTGTTAATAGTACTAGTAGTGCCCTAATTGTAAATCACAGACTTATTTGAAAAGTATAACATGAAATGCATACTTAAGTATGTATCAAGCAATAGATGCCCAATATGAACAAACAGTATTTTGTAAAATCTTTGTAGGAACTAGTGTTTTTTCCTTGTTCATAGTATTTATTGTTATAGTATAAATCTAAATCAATTTGTTTCAGCTCATCTAATGATATATTGTTAGTCAACTTATTGTCTCTTTTGTTAACTGTGTTTTGTTTTATTTTTGCTTGATTTTAATTAAAGTAACATATTAAGCAATGTTGATGAAGTAAATGGTTTAACTTGTGTGATGTTTATTTAAATAAACACAACTATATATAGCAATAGAACCGTCATACATTTAAAAGAGCATTTTGGAGTATTCAACCTACTCCTATATCAACCTTTTGTTTGAACTACTCATTTATTCATGGGTATACAATTTCAGATCGATTTAAGCACTGTATTTTCGATATTTTTACTTCATCACCAAAGTTTTTGCATTTCAGCAATGCATTTTAGAGTATGCATGAATAGCATTTTGGTACTGCAATCAAACCTTAACCTGAATTCAAATAAATAGGAAAACAAAGGACTGTGTATGTTACACTGTTTCCAGCTCCTGAGATGATCAGAATGCTCCTGCTTTTTTTCTTCATAAGCACATGCCTTTGATCTTGGCAGGCAGCTTGTGGGAGAGACTTGTGTGGCTTAGGACTCAAAGACTTAAGTTTTTTTCTGCTGACCAGGGCAAGGGTGGGAGGCATGCTAGTATATCACTTGTTCAATTGACAGTGGGATCAAAATTAGATTAGTTTAGCTTTTGTGTCTTAACCCTGGCTAGACATGGGGCCTTCATGGCCTTTGTTCTTGAATTTGAAGATTTCAGCAAGAACAGTAAAAATGGAGACAAGTTGACTACTTGGAACTTTCTGCATTCAGATTATGAGTGAATGGCACATATCATGTTATGCAATGCTGTTGGCCAAAGCTCTTAATAAAAAATTCAAAGAAACTGCATGGCCTCATTCTGTTAAAATGCTCACGTTTTGCCACAGTCATGAATAAAAAGGTTTTAGAAACCATGAGAGGCAGTCCATGGTCCATGGGGGTGTCATTTTATTAGCCCATGGAGTTATCTTTGTGGTTTAATTGACAGCACTATTTTGTAGCTCAAAAAGAAAGCCCCTGGATTAGGAAGCTGTTGGCAGACTTTTCTACTAGCTCCCTGGAGAAGCCTTCATCCTGTGAAGTCTACTACAGGTACATGTCACACTGGTCTAGGAGTCTCTTCTCAAGTCCTTGAGACAAACTGTTAATCTACTGCCCTTGCTCATACTGATGTACTACTTTAAGACTAAAGATTCAAAGTTTTATTGTCAAATGTACAAGTAGTGTAAAAAGTACAATGAGATTCTTGCTTGAATGCCTTCTCAAAAGACAATAGACAATTAACAGAGCAGTGTCTCATTACAATACAATAAATAGTAAGTATAAAAAACTAACTACTATGAGATATCTAATCACATATAATAAAGTATTCAAGAAGAGGTAGTAAAGTGATATATGGCAGAGGAAAGGATCAAATAAATTGGAGCAGTGGGTAGAATAAGGAGAATGCTGCAGCAATTTTACAGAATTAGCAATAACCAAGTGATAGGGCAAAGTGATGAGTGTGGGACAGATTTTTACCACTACCTACTGAAATCATGCACAGGATTAACCTACAAATTTAATTTACCTTTCTCACTGCAGACAGCCAATAATCCAGAGGCATCTAGAGTCTTAGGGGCACTAGAATAGTGGAAATTAAGCAGCCCACTCTGCTTCCAGCACATTTAATTATTATAATAAATTTGATGTAAAAATACACTACACATTAAACATTATATGTCAAATGAAGTTGCAAATGCAAAATGCAGTTAAATTCTGTGTGATTTTATTATGGATTTGTATATCTATTGTATTTCAATATGATGTTTTGTAATTTTTATTTATTATTAATTTTTTAATTATTTAATTTTGGCACATGTGATCACAGTAATATTCTGAGCAACAGTTAATTATAAATCTTCATTTACTCAATTCTTACTTTGAAAGCTACATTTTTCATCAAAAGGGAATTGCTTTTGTTCAGAAATTCATTAAAATAAATGGTTTTATTTTGTTTTAGTTCAGTAATAATATGATTAGCATTTTAGTACATTATTTACTTTTTACTTTTAATATAATTTAATATGATGTAACATAACATCTCACTTTGGCATTCCATACAATTTCTATTTTCAGTTATGTGAAAATGCCTTTTTAATATATGTTCTGATCAGATGAAAATCATTTTTATAAGTATGTTGATATTGTACCATTCTAAAAAATAAAGTTTCATGATTTTCTAGATGAGCAAGAAACTGCCAGACTTTAACAAGTATTCCAGCTAATTAATTTTAGGAATTTGAATAGTGACAGAAGTAACAGATCTATGAGAAATTTCTTTACTCCCTTACTGATCAGGGCAGGACCTAAACTTCAGATCCTGTCCCAAGAATGCCAGCCAATTAGATTTGACCCTTTGGGATTGATGCACCTGCATTTCACCTCCTTGATCTGCCCCAAACATGAATGCTTACAAGTGAAAGTCATTAACCCTACTGTATACAGTTTATGATTTAGGGGCATAGTTCAAATAACATTTTCCTCATGTTCTCTCTTCTTGGTGGACACATAGCCATAATTTTTTTTATGTTGTTAAAAAAGCCATAATTTCCTTTAGCTATTTGTATAATATCTGAACATACTAAAAGCATTATCTATATTTTATCAGGCAATGCACATAATGCATTCCGAATGAATTCTCAGCCTTAATAGAACCTTTACCTTGTTATATTGTTGTGATACTAAAAAAAAAAGCATAAAGACAATATTTTAATGTAAGGTAGTGTAAACTTCATGTAAGCAGAGAGATCCAAAAGGGCGAAGTGTAGGGGGTGTGAGGAAAAGTGAAAGATGAAGAAATGTCAACCGCAGGTCCATCAAGGCCTTTTAATCGAGGCAAAATAAAAAGCCAAAAAAATAAGCAGAATTAACAGGATGTTTCTAACGGTGGAAAACGATAGAGGGGATTACTCCATTAAGATGTGCTGAAATGCAGCTCCTTGATGATGAATTACGTGTTTCAGAAAAAGCCAAGCGAGAATGTACTTTGCAGCCCTTCTTCTAACGTTGTCTTTCTTAGTGAATACTTCATTAAAGTTGTCTGCTTTTCCATTAATACCATGGTGCTCTACACCTGTGTACCTGATTGGGGAGGGAGAAGTGAGTATGAAGTGGGTAGATGCCAAAGCAGAATAGCCCTGCATTGCCATCCGGAGGAGACTCAGGCTCATGGTGAGAAGAGAGAGCAACCCCCCCCCCCCCCCTGCGCCCCCCCCCCTTCGCCCCAGCCCGGGTGACAGGGCTGAACTGGGCAGTGAAATTAAGCAAGCCTCCATCAGATAACACATCTTCTGGTTCATGTAAAATGTTCAGGAGATCAACAAGGTCATCCATCAATCTGATTGAGTAGCATCAGCACATGCAGCTTTGGGAGTAAATGGGAAGTCTGGCTGACTTCACTCCCATCTATGAGTGAGCAGCATGAGTCACATAGAGTGCTCATCTTACACAATTTACGCATTAACCTGTAGAAAATCACAATGTCAAACCATTCCACATGGGTCATAAGTGTAATGATTATTGAAATCTCATCTCTCCATCGGGCTACACTTGCCCCAACAGTTACTGCATTTTTTAAAATTCAAAAAACAATTGTTCTGTTCAACTTAGACAGTTGTAATACCAGGTTTTAGACCTTTGCTATATTTTAGAATATAAACTCAGTTATGGGTTAAACAGGGTTGGTAAGGTTACTTTAGGAATGTATTCTGATACAATTACTAAATACCTGCTAAAAAAGTAGCCTAATACAAGTAGCCTATCAAAATATTTAAGTAATGTAACCCGATTACTAACTATTACTTTTGGATTGGCTAAATGCCAAAATGCAATACCAATAAAATTACTTTTATTTCTGAAAGTATTCTGTAATACAAGAGAACAATGTAAGATAATCTTAAGAAAGCAAATGGAGGCACACATCAAACATTTTAACATCTCTCTTATTGCATGACTTATGAGTGCCCTAAGCATTTTCTTCAGAAATCATATACAGAACTTTAACATCCCTTTTATGAACCTTATTTCATTCCATGGTATTGCTACTTAAGATAGTGAAAAGAAAACATTAGCAGTAGCTCTAGAAGTCATGATTGTCCAATAGGAATGCTCCTTACCTAAACTCTTATTGAACAATCATGACTTCTAGCTTAACTAAACCCAGCTAACTGAGAAATCCTGTTTTGTGGAACACCGCCCAGGTGAAATACAAAAACAAACAAACAAAAAACATGCCTGCATAACATTAGGGCATTTCATCCAATACCATCCAGCAATCAATTAATAAAACTACAGCAGCTAACTGACATTTCCAAGAATTTATAATTGCCTTTGATGAATTTAAATCAGAAACCTGTTTAATTCCGTGAGATTTCACGGTTTACTGTCAATTACATCTTTATATGTGGATTCTGTCCATGTTTTCTGCATAGCAGATGTCATATGGTCTAAAGGTCTGTCTTATACCATTAAAACTGGTACAAAAAATATTGTAACACAAACACGTGCACACACACACACACATCTGCAACAATGCAAATAGTTGCAAAATTTCAATGCAATTAAAGCATTTTTTGCAGTGGTTGAGAGTGATGTCTTGAGAGAAGTATTGTTTGCCCATATACTGTGTCTACTGAAAATCATTCTTCATTTAAAAATTTATTGTGAATTTAATCCTGGTTATGATGCCCAGTCTGTTGTTACAGATACTGTTTCTCCTAAGAGCTGTCATTGTGACAGTAAACATACCATAACTGTCCTGATGCTGAGTTTTAACCTATATCTAAGCAGCTGACAGACTATGATGCACAAATCTAATTCCACAACTCGCATCTGAGCACAATAACGCTGTTTTGGGCAGGCAATTTAAACGGAACAAAATGAAAATGCAAATAGTGGCTGATTGCAGGCACTGTAAGTCTAGTGAGATGATAAGCAAATTATTCATACAGTGACAAATATATTTTCAAAAAAATGTGTACAACCCAATTTGCAAAAAATTTGAGATGCTAAATGTAAATAAAAACAGAATGCTATATATGTCCCAAGTGTTTTGAAAAATATTGCTTGCATCAAATA